AGAGAGAGAGAGAGAGAGCTTAAAGAGACAGAGGGTTGACGCCCCTGTTGAGTAGCTTGTTTTTGTTTCTTTTTTTTTTTCTTCACGAAACGTTGCAAACTTGGTCATTAAACACAACTCTTCCCCGTGCACACATAAGAGGTTACTGGGTGCTCTGCTCAAATCTTCATTTTCTACCTCTTTTTTAAAAAGTCTGTTTCCCCCATTTATTTGCTTGCTGGCGAACTATAGCCCGTATCCGTAAAATACAACTTAACAGCACTAACACCAAATGTGAGGCGTACTGACAAAATGAGTTACTTCTAGCAATCCTAAAGTGGAGATAATACTGGGCCGGAAATCGACACTATCGACACTCGTGTCAAATTTGTAGATGTTCTTTTAATGCTATATTCTTAAGCATGACATGCCTTTTATTATCTCATTCTTATAAATTGTTTTTTTTTAAACTTGACCTATAAGCGCCATGTTCCTCTTTCCATTAGGCTCAAATCTGAGAAGTAACTCATCTTGACAGCACGCCTCACAAATTATTTCAAGTCATTATGCATCGGCATAATGAGAGAACAGAGATGAGATTTTACCGCAAACTCCTTGACATCTCATACAAAGATCACATTTCAGATGCTGAGGTAAGGAACAGAATCACCAACGCAGTGGGGCAGCATGAAGATCTACTGACCACAGTGAAGAGACGAAAATTAAAATGGTATTGGCATGTCACAAGATCCACAGGACTTGTAAAATCAATCCTACAAGGAACCGTATAAGGAACCGTACAAGGAACCAGAAACAGAGGAAGGCAGAGAAGGAGATGGGAGGACAACATTACAGAGTGGACAGGAAAGACGATGGGTGATAATCTGAGGAAAGCAGAGGACAAAGAGAAATGGCGAGACTTGGTTGTTAGTTGCAGTGGTGCCCCCACCGTTGTCACAACCACGGGATAGAAGAAGAAGAAGATGGACTGTATGAATTAATGGTTGTGCCTTGTTCCTTTCGAGTCCCACTTCTGAGGTGGGAAAAGTATTAATTTTTCTCGAGGATCTTCTTCAAAGCCCAGATTTGTCATGACTTTGCATACTTGATCAAATCAACTCACGTTCTAGAATCATATTATCTAAATTGCGTCTTTTGGGGCATAGCATATTTACTACCACCACTTAAGTTCCAGTTAGCAAACTTTTGTTGGTTGGCGGGTACCCTTCTTTACACACACACACACACACAGACACCACAAGTGAACCCATCAGTACACACACACACACACACACACAGACACCACAAGTGAACCCATCAGTACACACACACACACACACACACACACAGACACCACAAGTGAACCCATCAGTACACACACACACACACACACACACACACACAGACACCACAAGTGAGCCCATCAGTACACACACACACACACACAGACACCACAAGTGAACCCACCAGTACACACACACACACACACACAC